GCATTATCATTCATATATATTGATGAATGATTAATTAAACTTGTTCTAATTTCCATATTCAATCATTAATTAATTAATTGGCCTTAACTACCTTAGCTAACATATAGACATACTATTCGATTTAGCAAATTAAACATGTCATCTCGGAAATTAAACCATAAATGGCAAACAAAAAATTACTACTATTAAAACATAGATTAATTAAAGATTAATTCAATACCCTTTGCAATATCAAATTTATGTATTACAGTGATTGCAACTACCTTCTTAAGATTAAGGGGTAATTAATTAACATACTTAATTTTGCATGGCAGCCTGGTTAAGAAGCACTCACCGACTCCAAAGCAACCGAAGAGCTTCTCCAAAGCCATGGCAAGATCCGAGTACCTTTTGTGCATGCTCAAATCGATCTTCCGAAGGAAAGGCGCTCCATCCATGCTCACTTTCACGTACATTTTCGATGCCTCAGTGATTTCTTTCTCGCCGAAACTGTTCTTTCTCCGATAAGAACACACCGGTGGCCATCCTACCACCTGACCCTTCATCTGGCTAATTTTCTCGTCACCGGTACTTTCACGCACCCTTTTCTTCTCATTTTTGTCCACCGAACCCGGTAACCCCAACCTTAGCTCCGTAATTTCGAGTCCAAGACCTTCCTTTGCCATTTCTTAATTCCAAATTAACAAGAGGATGAGCGAATTAGATAGCGAGCTAGAGAGTGGCAAAAGAGAACTACATAAACAATTTCTTAACTTTGGTGAGAATATATATATCTATATGGTTCAATGAAGTTTATAATCAGTAGGGTTTGTATATAAATGGAGTGGTTTTTTGGACAAGGTGAGAAGGTTAGAAGGCAAGGTGAGAGAGATTACAAGTCAAGTGAGGCAAAGTGGTCGGTCACATGTGAGGCAAAGGTGGGGACTTTGTGTCCCCTTGAAACACTATTTAGAACCGGCACAATAAGATGGGTACGGAACAGATCGTAGGGTTGTTGGGGCTTCGGTGATTTGGTGGGATTTGATCCTGGCCGTTTGATTTGGTAGTATTTGAACAGGCCATGTGATTTGCCCCATTCAAACGGTCTATGAAATAAATTAATTATAATGCCGAAGAAGCATGCACCATGAGATAGGGGAAGTATGTGTTTTTTTGTTTTTTGTTTTGTTTAGTTTTTTTCTTTTTTTTTTTTGAAATAGGGCAATTACTTAGTACCAACTAGACATTAATGGAGGAGGGAGGTGAAAGTCAGTACTTCCTGAGATTAGAATTCAATCCTTCATGCCAAACAACTTGACTCCTCATACCACTTGGTTAGCAAGGTGAAAATATGTTTTGGCGACATACATTGATGGGCATGAAACATGCATGTTGCTGCCGCCTGCCGGCCCATATATCACGCATTCATGTTTAGTCAGGAATGATAGTAATCTAGACAGCATGTCTCTTTTTCTAAAAGCTGCCGTAATATATGAAGTTGAATGTCTTATAATAATTTCCCCCCGG